CATCGCAGGTGACTAATTCTAATAAATAATATTTAACACTTTTCATTTAATATAAGTTAAAAGTGCTTTGCATATGCCTGTTACTGAATATATGTCACCAGCTCTTATAGCTGTTACACAATTTTTGTAGCAAATAAGCTTAAATAAGAGGGCTATGTTCTGACAAAGTATATACAATTTCTGTATTGGTTATCGGCCAAATACATTTCAACATATCGGCATATTGGCCAAAAATCCAATATTGTGCATCCCTACTACAAAACACCAAATGTTAGCGCAGTATCTGTAAAATTACCAGAGGTATAGCTAATTTTTATGTAAGATAAAGTTGTTTAGTCATCTTACAGATTTGGCTTTAAAAGTTAATCAGCTAAACATCAACACTCAATGCTTACTTCCTGAGAGCTTCATTTAAATCTTTCCAGCAGTTCATGAGATATTTGGCTCACAAACAGACAAACACACACACTCAACATATCTGTGCCCACTTTTTGCTCAATGGCAGTGGGTGATAAAAGAAATTGCAAACCTTACAACAAAATGAATACAAGCACAACAAACAAGTGTTGGACCATTTTTTACTACCAATTAGAATATTGCATGTAGAGAACATGAATGGTTTTTGCAATGCTCATACAAATTAGATGTAGTCTACCACAGAGCACAGAGGTTCATATAAAACCTTTAAACCTTTACTCCGTCACTCTTCGTGTTTGTGTGGGTTGAAGCAACTGATGCATATTTACACAGACTCAACAGCTGTCACATTTTTCTCTGCAGAGAGCTTTTCTGTATTTGCCATACAAAGCTATTTGCTTGCCCCTGTATAACCCACCAACATTTATGCTTAAAAATGTATGAGAAGTGATTGTCTTTGTTCCCAAGACTTTTCGCCAAAACCTGCACTGAATTGTAAAAACGGGTGTTTATGTGTTTGCAAAGCCGCTTGAATCTCGGGGAGATGGTCTCGCCAGTTTGTCAGCAAAGTTTCAACAAACTTTGTACTGTATGATAAGGGCTGCAATGGCAGAGGGGAACATATGATAAAACAATGGAAAGATGGAAACAACTTTTGAAGTTTGTGGATGATATGCTGCCCAGAAAACAGAAATGATTAGGTTTATTTTTGTTCTGAATATATATATATAAGCTAATTATTACATGTTTTAATACTTTATTCATTCATTCAACCTTTATTTAAACAGGTAAATCCCATTGAGCCTCGAGGACTCATTTACAAGAGAGGCCTGTTTTCAACAAAGTGGTTATGGTTCATCTTTTTGGTTTTATTGATTACCCTCTTTTGCACTACAACTGTTTAAAAGAGAAAATGCAGATAAAAACAACATGTCAGTTGTCTGTTTTTAATAGGTATAATTTTATGATCATACTTAGCATTTTTGATCATTTATTCTCACGTGTACTGTATGTGTGCAGCAACGAGTCAAAACGCAGCGCATTAAGCATTCAAACAAACAAAAGAAGAGTGTTTTTTATATGGGCATGGTCTACTTATATCTTATGTGATAATAGTTTTCTAAAATTAAGTTGTATCAAAATCACTTCTGCATTACTTGTTGAAGTTATTAGAGCTGATTTGAGTGGGATCCCTATTGTGGTGTCAGTGGAAGGGAACTTCCCTGGAGTTTCAGAAGGATTTTTTTGTGAAAAACATTTTTTCCACACCAAAAGTTGAATCATGTGGATTCAACTGGATCAGTTGGATTTGTGTGTGTGCATGTATACGTGTATGTGTACATGGATAGGTGTGTGAACATTAGGTATAAACTTTTTTTTTTTACTTTGTTTGCATCCAGTCAAAGCAGATGTATTTGCTGATGTGGGTTTGTTTTGCAAGGGGTTGTTTGTGTTCAAATGTGTGTGTATGTATGTGTATATAGGTGTAGGTATGAATGTATGGATGCACAGATTCATATTGGCGTTAACGTTGATACGAACTGTGCAGTGTGCAATTGTTTTGACATGCCTGGAATGAATGAATTAAATAAAATAATAAAATAATAAAAAAATCATTGATTAAAGCAACACATTTGATGCAGTGTTTATGGTTATTTTGCTAACGTTGGAAGCTTCTTTGACTGAATTTTAGATGTGTGTTCTTACAAAATTATGGTTTGACATGTACAACATAAACACATCAACTGCAGATGGGCTACAGACCTGATACAACTCAAGAAACTACAAAAAAAAAAGTTTTATTTTAGCTTTATAAAAACAGAGTAAAAAAGGTATTTATAATAGCAAGAAAACTGTTTTCCATTACATGTCAGAAGTCTCCAAATGCATGTGTATGTTTAGTGAGGTCATGAATGAAGGTGATGGTTTATCCACTAATAAATTAACAAAACATTGTTAATAAAAATAATAATAATAATAATTTTTAAAAAATCACGTGTTTACTGCTAAAGCCAGAATGTATGTATGGTAGAAGGCTTGTATATTTGTAGAATACACAACTGAAAAAAAACATGGTTTTGTTGTTCCCACCAGCTCCGGTCCTGGCCATGGGATGCACCTTTGTTTAATAGAATAACAAAGCAGAACACCTGATTCCATGTTATGACCTTGTTTTGAGCAGACCAGTATAATTCAACGTTTTTTTCTCCACAGCTGGACAGCAAAAGAGAAACATGTAAATGACAGATGACTTGTCATTCATCACCGTCATCTCCTCAACACGCAGGAGGAAATAACTAACCGGCCTCAGTGTGTCACTTCCTGTGTGCAGCTACTTTGTCTTTGCTGAAAACCGTTTAGCTGCTGCGATGAATGTCAAATAATGTACACTGACCCTTACACACAAACACAGAATTATTTTTTTGCAAACTGACACTTGTGAGCTGTAATCATCTGCACGTGCATGCAAAAATCTGCTAAAGTGCTTTGCATGAAAGAGAAAAGATGCAGGTGCATTTAATCATATAGTAATGCAGCACAAATTTCTGCACATTACTTTTTTATTTTTTAGACTAATAATAAATTACATTTTATATTGCATTCCTTATACTGACTCCTTTATATTTTATTGTGCATAAGCTGCACATTTATTATGACAACTGTTTCGAAAGTATAGTCGCTTTAGTACAATTAGAATCCAAAAGTCTTTCAAGGTTTGTGGTGGAGAGGACCTAAACTTTGGTGAACGAAGCAGAGAAAGCAGGGAGATGACAAAGTACTTGTTTAGAAAATTAAAAATAAAGACACAAAGAAGTCACAGCAAGATTATTTAAAAGAACAAAACAAAATCTGGCTCAACCATCAAAATCCATGTGTGAACAGAGGATCAAGGAAAAACAGGAGGATATACAATATACTAAGAGAGTGACTCTAATGATCCATGTGCTGATTACTAACAGAGTACAGGTGGCATGTGAGGAGCTGGAAACAAGGAATATGCAAAGCATTTAGTGGCAATTGTCAGCGGAATTTAGGTAAAGATTTATGGATGTTTTCACTGCTAATGGTAAGTTAATGTTGAACCATGTGTGTGAGGTCAGAGAGTTATTTTCCTCTCTCAGAGGGGAGCCTGCAAGCCCCTACAGATCCAAGTCTAAGAGGCCGAGGTCATTGTGCTCATAAGCATTATAAAAACACTTCCTGTACACTGCCCGCTGCAGAGCTTCATGACCGGGGCGTCAATGAAACATCTGTGTAAACCTGTGGTGAACTCTGCCCTTGCAAGTTACTGGGTTAAAAAAAAAATCTTCTCATGTCTTCGTGCGTGACTCTTTATAAGTAAATAATGAAAGAATATTTTTATCCAAGGGGCAGCACGGTGGCACAGCTGATAGAGCTGCTGCCTCTCAGCGAGCAGGTTACCCTGGTTCAAATCCCAGTCCGGGGGCCTTTCTGGGTGGAGTTTGCATGTTCTCTCCGTGCATGCGTGGGTTTTCTCTGGGAAAACCCACAGACAAAAAACATGCATGTTAGACTAATTGGAAACGCAAAGGTGTGAGCGAGAGAGTGAATGTTTGTCTCATTTGTCTCCATGTGACCCTATGATGGACTTGTGACCTGCCTAGGGTGTACCCCACCTCTTGCACAGTGACTGCTGGACATGGGCACCAGTGAACCTCATGACCCAAAAAAGGAAGAAGCAGGTAAAGATAATGGATGGATGGATTTTTATCCAACATTTTGGTCCTTCGAGTCGGATTCGAACCAGCGACCTAAATATATTTGTATCCAACAGTAATGATGATAAAAACAACATGAATCAAAACCAGAACTACACTGTCAAAATACTAAAGCTCAGTTTCAATAAGCTATGATAAATCAACTAAAACATCTGTTCACCAGGAAAATAATTACTTGATGCACTGACAAATGTTTGGAAAAGTATGAGGAGAAAAACAAATGACTTTGCAAAACAAATGTAAACATTTTTTGAAGATGACAAATGACATGTATCTCTTTGGATATTTACACACTGCACTGCTGTATCTTAATAATTTTAACACAACACCCCCGTGTGGTCATCAATGCCAAACAAAGGCAGCCAAGTAGTTTTTGTGTTTGTTGTAAGTATCTGCTGGCCCTATTTTTTATTTTTTTATTTAAGGACAAGTGTAGCGCTCACATGCTTTGTTAGATACTTGCATGATAAATGCATGAAAAACACTTCTTATGTGAAGTTCTTAGGCACAACAAATCAAACTGATCTTTTCATTGATTTTTTTTGGAAGATGTGAAAATATAGCATATAATCAATCATTAAATATGTGTATGCAAATGTGAATGTTTCTCTAAATGGTTCAGTTTACTGGCTTCACTAAGGCTTAATGCTAAAAAAAAAGTTATTGTTCAAATTCTAAGTCTTGTGCCCCATTATCTTTGTTTTTCACTCCTTCATGACACCTGCCTGAATTAAAAAAAACAAAAACAAAAAAAAAGTGTTGTGCTGTTTGTTGCTTGTTCAACCATCTATATCTGTATTTCAGTAGCATACTTTATTATCAAAAGGACAGAAACCGTCCTACCTTTGACTAAAACTGTTCTCTTTCCTATGGCAGTGCAGGGTAACAACCCGATGACCCTCGCTTCTGATGTCCTGACTGACCGTCCACATAACCGGGTTACTGGCTCTTGCCCCAAGGAACGCCACACCATCCTTCAGCTTGACACTGAAACACACAAAAATACATCTTTAAAAACAAAACAATAGTGTGTTGATTATCCACGAACATTTTTCATGTTTTCTTTTTTTGCTGCTTTGTCAAAATTGTTTAGCAAAAACCTTCTTATACTCCTCTACAGCCACCATGGCTGTAGTCACACAGTTGCTCCTGTTGAAAGGTCTGTGTATTTCACATTCACCCTCTCAGCAGATGTCCCTCCTCCTGGAAGTTCCACCTGGAAGCAACATCTCACCGAAATCAAGTTTCAATCCGTATAAAATGTAGATTATGTGGACAATTTCCTCTTAGGTATTAATTATGGCAAATGCACTTTTCTAACCTGACAAGTTCTGTGAAGCTTTATACAATGCATTTCTCATACCCAGTCTTATGACTGGAAGATGGCCTTCCTACCACTGGTCCAAAGCTGCCTCAGTGTGAAAAAGTGCATTTGGATAATATCAAAACTTCAAGCCAATATTGTCCAGAGTTCTTTTTTTTTTTTTTACCTTGTCTGGTTGGTAGCTGCTTGTCGATTTAAAAAAAAAAACTTAAAAGTTATATAAAGAGACAGATGCTCCAGATCTATCATCAAGATGAGATGAGAACATGATAGAGGAACTAAAACTATTTAGGTTAACACATAATGTCAAGATGGATTAAAAATCATTAGCTGTATGAATTGAAATTCATGATTAGCAATCTTAAACCAGCTGGTGAACACTTTAAACATTTAAATAGGTTTATACCCAAAGTTAAGAGCAAATCATTGGCAGAAAAGGCAATTTTCTTACTGCATCTGGGGCTTTAAAAGACTTCTAAGTTTTGAACCACCTGTCTGACCATTTTATCCTACGATCACTTCCATTATTTATGGTCACAGTCTGTGGGCTGATATACAGGTGGTGAATAACCACACACTGTGGCTTTTCTCATTCCTTCCTCTGTCACATGTAGTTATCAAGACATGTGCCGCTTTTGCAACTTCTTTATCCAACATATCGAATTATTACTGTTCATACTTCATGCACAAATTGAGCTAGATATGTGAGCATAAGAGGCAATGAAGAAGAAAGATGGTGAGGCATACTGGTCTCCGAAAAAGCACAAAAGCTAAGGAAAAACCCCATCTCAGTTCAGCAATAGATGAATGCTTAGTAATTCTTGCCCTATATCAAAATAATCAGACTGTCCTCATTTCAGATCTGTGAAGTATCTGTACAAGATGACGAAAAAACCTGAGCATTTAAAGGGGAATAATGATTTGACAACCCAAGCAGCAGTGCTTAGAAGAGCACAGTCATTACGTCTTCTGTATTCATCCGGTCACCTTTGATCTTATCACGGGCTCTGCTTCAGTAATAACTGGCCTTGTGTTGGTTGCTGTTCCTGACGAGCAAAGATAAAGGCCGCAAGTGTGGGAGCTGCAGACAGTAACTGGGGGAAGCAACTGATTGCTCCCTGCCCTCCTGTTTTCAACTTGCCACCTTATTCAAAGCACAGTAATAACTATAAATTCACAACCTGATTTACCACCAACACGTAACATGGAAACTAATAATCAAAGAAACGTGCAGTATTCTATATAATGCGTACAAAACGTCAATTTCTGGGTGTTTCAGGTTCGGCTATGATTCCTGGCTGATAGCACTTTTCTTTGGTTGGGGGTAGTGCCTTTGTTTATAAGCGTTTTGCATTCATTTGAAAATGTAATTTAGACTAATTTAACAGTTTAAAGTATCTTCCTAGCCACAAAAGTTTGGTAAGTATCTTTGGCCTTCCAGGAAGAAAGACAACTTAATCAAATATGTATTTAGTCAACAGATCAATCAATACTAGAGTTCATTGAAAGACTTTCAACTAGCTATTGTGTTTTATGGGGTCTTTCTTTTCTCTCCTCATTTTCTTCCTTTCCTCATTTCCTTCATCACTTTCCTCATTTTCGTCTTTTCCTCATTTCCAGCCAGTTGAGGTAGTCTGGGCATCTGGTAAGGATGCCCCCTTGGCCACCTCCCTAGGGAGGTGCTTTGGGCATGTTCGACTGGGAGGAGCCCCTGTGGAAGACCCAATACATGCTTCGCTTCACCTCACTTTATTAGGTCCCTGCAGGGCAATTCATTTACAGTAAGTAGTGGTGGTGATGACAGCCAGCACCTTCATACAAATTTTAAAACATGACAAAATTAATAAAAAACAGGATAAAAATGTACATTCAAAACAAGATTAAAATACTTGAAAACATTACTAAAAAGAAGAGAGAGAAAGAAAGAAGTGTTAGACTGTGATAATTCAATTGCAATCCTAGGATAAGGCCTTAAATCTACAAATATATTTTGTTTAAAAAAAACAATGACTGTTGGGATACTATAGCCCCTTTTCCATAGGTCCTGATCGGCTCGGCACTTATTGAGCCTTATTGGGCTGGTACAGGTCGAATTGCTTCATTTTCCGTTTCCACAGTGCCTCTTTATGCTTTCAGTACCGGTTCCAGTGGGCGGGGTTCAAATTGACGTTGCGTGCCTCCCACCAGCTGGAGGCGGTGAGACGCTGAAACAGGTTTCAGTACAGGGTGTGAATTTATTTTGAAGTTTCTGGTAAATTAAAAAGAAAATAGATTATTAAATCTCAGTTGGCCTGGGAATGCCTTGGGCTACCCCTAGATGAATTAGAAGAGGTGGCTGTGGAAAGAGATGTCTGGACCTCCCTAATGTTGCTGGTCCCGTGTCCCGACTTTAGAACAAGCGGAAGATAATGGATAGATGAATCCTCATTTTCTTAATCCCTTTCCTCATTTTCTTATTTTCCTCATTTCCTTAATCCACTTCTTCATTTTCTTCCATTCCTCATTGCCTTCAACCCTTTCCTCATTTTCTTCATTTCCTCATTTTCTTAATCCCTTTCCTCATTTTCTTTCTTTATATCCTTATTTCCTTAATCCCCTTTCTCATTTCCTTCCATTACTCATTGCCTTCAACCCTTTCCTCATTTTCTTCCTCTCCTCATTTTCTTAATCCCTTTCCTCATTTTCTTTCTTTATATCCTTATTTCCTTAATCCCCTTCCTCATTTTCTTCCTCTCCTCATTTCCTTCATCCCTTTCCTCATTTTCTTCATTTCCTCATTTCCTTAATCCCTCTCCTCATTTTCTTCATTTCCTCATTTCTTTCATTACTCATTTCCTCAATCTCTCTCCTCATTTCCTTCCTTCTTCCCTCCCTCCCTCTCTCCAGCCATTTTCTGTAAGGATGGCACCTTTTGCTGTTTCTGTTTGTGTCTGTGTTTCCTCGTCAGTTTAATTGTTGCCACCTTTGTCTCGTCACACCTGCTGTTGTAATCACGTCTGGTCTCGTCCTTGTATATAAGCCTCCTGTTCTGTGTTGTTCCTTTGTCGGGTCGTATTCGTTGGGTCTCTGCGTTCTCCTGCGTCTCCCCTGATCTTTCCTGAGTCCTCCCTGAGTTTCCCTTTGAGCCATCCGTCTTCATGTAAGTTTTGCTGCCACGTCAGCTGTTTGTTTTGTTCTTCATTTATTATTAAAAATACTTATTTTTGTAATCTGCCGAGTTTGAGTCCTGTCTGCACATTGGGTTCGTTCCTGTCCACAAAATCCTGACATTTTCCTTATTCCTTTATTTTATTGCCTTCCCTCCTTTTATTCTTTCATTGTCCCTTTTTCTTTCTTTGCTGTTTCCTTACTCCTTTCTTCCTTCTTTTCTTCCCTCAATTCCTTTATTTCGTTTTTCTACCTTCCTTCCTCCCTTATCTTAATCTGACATTATTTGATGTGTTTACTCATGCAGTATTTCACAAACAAACTTGATCGTGTGCCCCTGCCATCAAGCCAGTGGTTTAAATTAACAAATGGCACGTCGTAAATGAGATTGGATTGGCTAATGTAATTTCTGGTGAGGAAGGACAACCGGTGGCGTTGTTAGGGACAGCAATAAAAGAAAGCAATTTGAGAGGAGGTCCCTTTTCACATGCATCAGCACATGAAGGTGCCTCATTAAATCCACAAAAACGTGTATTTGTGAGATGCGTATTTACAGATGACAGGATTTTTTTTCCCCTCTTCCCTGTAATACCTGATTGATTCTCAGAAATAAACCAGAACAGCCACCGACCAAATAACACCTCAACATATTCTTTGGTGAATGCTTAAAAAATAGTTCATAAATAAAAAGAACAGCGAAATATTTTATTAATCACAAAAAGTCAAATTGTTGCAGTAAAAATTTAATCTTATTAATAACCTCCTTAGTCCCGGCCCATTCTTTTGCGTTCTTTATAGTGGACATTTTGTTCATGTAATTTGAGCTCTGGAGTATGGTACTTTTTAGAGGACATTCTTGGCTTTCCAGTGATGTGTGATGTGATAGGTTTGCATGCTGGGAACTCACATTTTCTTTTCAATCAAAATTGCTGGCTTACCAACAGCCATATTTTATAGAACATGGAGAGGTAAGCAAAATATGTATTTGTTGCAATTTTTACCATGGTGATTATACCTGCATATATCCTTCTTTATCAAAATGTTAATATGTTTACCTCAGAAAACAGTTTAAATAATGTGTGTTTTGAAATGAGAGTCTTTTTTATGAATGCCAATTGCAGTGTACACCAGGTTCATTTTACTGTATTTAATGAGTCAATATTGTTGTAGGAGAAAGAAGTGAAGCAGAGAAGATTTTATACCAAATAGTAGCGGGAGATTCAGATTTGAGTTAGTCTGATGAGGATGAGAAGCAGCCTGGGATGGAAGATGGTGAAGAAGAAGTAGGTGAAGAAGATGAGGAAGACAATGTAGGAGTATCTGATGAGGAGACAGACTCAGAGCGAGAAAGGGAGCAGGAAAGTCATTGTGCTTTGTGAGCTGGGACCATTTTGCATGTTTTATTTAATTCTAGCCTAATGTATCCTATTTTTATATTTTAGATTATTGCTGTATTAGAAGTTAGAATTTTGTACGCATTTAAAAGATTTACACCTGCACTACCTGGGCTTCCTGT